AACCCACCAGGTGCTCCTTGGGAACCCTATACAGGGTTGTTATGAGTCAGAACCGACTCCATCCATGATACTTATCAACAACAATGTGCTTCCGAAGTATAAATCCGTAAGAGTCCTTTTCAGTTTCTCTTCCTTCAGGCTCCTCAGTCTTTGAGTGCTGTTCTCCTGGGCCACCACTTCTAAAATATTGAAATACTTCTATATCTACTGAGGAAAGTACAGAGGTCAGGGATCAGCCTGTTTACTTCTGAATCCTACATTGCTGCTTACCCATTGCTTCACATGTTAAGTGCCATTGAGTTGGTTCTGACTCACAGTGACCCTGTATAGCATTTCCAAGGAGTGATTGTGGTTCGAATCATCAACCTGGCAGTTAGCTGTCAGTGTTTATCCTAAAGTTTATACCAAGACTCTTCGTGCCATTCAATTTATATTTTCCTTGAGACTACTTTTTAGGCCTAGATTAAAAAACCCCAAATCAAACCAGTTGCTATTCAGTCGACTGCAGCTGGTAGCAACCCCATGTGGGAAACTGTGTGCTATAGTGTTTTCATGGCTAGTTTTTCAGTAGTAGCTTCTTTCCAGTCACCTCAATGTAGATTTGAACTGCCAACCTTTTAGTTAGTAACTAAACTCTTAACTGTTTATCCTCTTTCTGCCATCCACGTATTCCTAACCCTGGATGACTGGGGTAAAAAAACAACAACAGAAAAATGCCGAGTGGCATGTTCTCTTTGAAATATTTGGAGGTGATTTTGCTTATCTAGTTTAACTTCTTGTGACTGAAATTTTCATACATATATTTTGCTTTTTATTCTCAATGTATATGCAGATCTATCTGTCTTTATAGATCAGTTGGAATGTTACTGAGATGTTTAAAAGTTTAGGAAATTTAGAGTAATAATGATAAAAAAAATTATTTGGATTGGAGTGTGTCCTTTAGTTGATACTTTTCTCAAAGATATCCTCAACTGGTTCCACAGTCCTTTCTCCCTCCTCCCAGTTCCTTTTAGTTGATTAGAACCCCTATCTATTTCACACCCATATGTCAGTTTTTAAAAGGGAAGCAAACAGCCCTGGGGTATATATATTTTTTGGAATAAATATATATATTTTAGTCCAATTTTGTATTTTTCCTACCCTCGTCTTCTTTTCCTTCCCCCATTCCTTTTAAATAAGATCTCCCCAGACTTGTTTACTTGTGTTGGCAAGCCAGAGGCTTGCTTAGCTAGGGTATGTGAAGGTAGTGCCCTCTGGTGGAATGCTGTGAGAATTACCAACCTCCCCCAAAGCTTGGGGTTTGAAAAGGTTTTTTTTCTTGATTGGTTTTCAAGGCATAATTCACTCTGTTACATCTTAAATATAAAAAAGTATAGGGAGATCCTCCACCTCCAAAATATCTCCACAGAAATTAAAGTCACATCATATTCATCATACACTTGTTGAAAATACCCAGTGACAATAGACGTTCCTAGATAGCAAGCTAGTTTATTGTCTAGATTAGATATGTCAGAGTATTATGATGTTGGAGCATCAATTGCTCACAGGAGGTTTGCTTATCCTTATAAAACTTGGCCCCAGATGACTGGAAATGCACAGTTAACAGCGTGTTTTATTATTATTTACTCTAATAGCCTAGTGGTTACGAGTCGGGCTGCTAACCTTAAGATCAGCAGTTCAAAACTACCAGTTGTTCTGAAGGAGAAAGATGAGGCTTTCTGATTGCGTAAAGATTTACAGCTTCAGAAACCCTAAAGAGGATCTCTGTAGGAATTAGAACCAACTCCATAGCACATAACCACCACCACCATATATATGGAGTCCTGGTGTGGCGCTGTGGGTTAATGTACCAGACTGCAAAGCCGTTTGAACT